ACCCTCACCCACCCCCACCTCAAACCCAAAATCCATACCATCGCCGCATCCACATCCACCACCACATCGGCTAATTTGGAAGAGACATGTGATCGTAGATGTTGTAATGAGCGTTGCTGTAGTCGAAGACAAAGTCTTCTGCACCCTGATACGAAAATTACAGCAGGAAAAACAAAATCATGGTAGCAATAGAGATCCTAGGTTTGCAATTTTGTATTTTAGGGCTTGCAATTTGGGAATAAATTTAAAATCCTAATTTAGACTGAGGTAGACTAGAGGATGGAGGTTGTCAGAGCGATAAAGAGGTTAAGGTGATATTGGCTGGAAAAGCTGCATAAGACCAATTGCAAGACTAATCCAAGGGAGTGTGAGTAGTTTCAATACAGACCACCTTGTTGAGGATTATCTACAGATCAAAAAGGAAAACAACAGTATTATCTTCATTCAATCTAGAAGCTTGATGCAACATATTTACATGTTCGGCAGAAAAAATAGCATTCATCATATAGAGATGAATTATGATAGAAGTCCACCTGCTTCTTGAGATCCAACATCTGCATCAAAGCAAAATAGTGTTGTTCTCTATATGCATCAGAACACAAATTCTACATATAAAGATGTTAAAAGTGTCGAAAATGACAATTCAAACTTCCATAGCCATTCACCAGAAATAGTTCCATTCCTGTTTAAGCCCACGAAAGAACTAGGAAGTCAAAAAGGGCATGGAAACAAAACACATTCTTGGAGCTGATTTTCTGGGAAAGAAGAGTTTTTTTGTTTTTTTTTTCCAACGGCAAAAGGGTTGCAACACCAAATCACACTGTGAAGAACGTACATTCTGTAGAGAAGCCTAAATGTTTCATTTAGTAATAGCTACCATCCTCATATTGCATTGATTAAGGCTCATTTCCCCTTCCCCCTTCTACATAAAAGTCTAACTGAATAGGTTCAGTTTGGGTTTGGGCTGGATGAATAACCGAGCGTCACTGTCTCATACTTCTCCCAACCGGTTTTCTCCCACATGACTCACTGGCACTGGTCATCACCTTTCTCTCTGCCATCTTATTCTGAAGAAAACGGACGCTACGAAATAGAGAAGATCAAGTGTAGAAATTGGGAGGAAGATGGAGAGAATATGAAGAACGGAGTGGATGATGTGGTCATACTGGAGGCGACGGACAAAATTGGAGGGAGAATAAGGAAGGAGGAGTTCGGTGGGGGTAACGGTCGAGCTTGGTGCTGGTTGGATAGCCGGAGTTGGCGGCAAACGGTCAAATCCCGCCTGGGAACTGTCTCACCAATCCAATCTTCGTACCTTCCTCTCCGACTACAGCAACGCTCATTACAACATCTATGATCACAAGTCTCTTCCAAATCAGCCGGTGTGGTGGTGGAGGTGGAGGGGGCGGTGGTGTGGATTTTGGGTTTGAGGTGGGGTGGGATGGGGTGCGTGGGCGTGGGTGAGGGTTGAGAGGAAGAAGAGTGAATGTGTGTTTTTTTATTTCTTATTTTTATTTAATTATTTAATGTGATAAATATAAAATTGCTCTTTTTCCCTTTTTTAAAATATTAAAAATGCGATCAAAGTTAAATTTTTGATCAACTGACGGAATTATGGATGGAAATCGTCCAAAGGGGCTCCACCTGCAATATTTGGAAAGGTTAGGGGTGGCGATTGCAGCAAATCAAAAGTTTATGACATTTGCTACAACTATCCCTTTATTTTATAATCTATCTCGAGTTGTAAAATTTCTCCACATCTCTATTAGAATTACAAATATACAAAAACACAGTAAAATCAATGAACATTCATGCGATCGCACAAATTCTATAAGTTCATTTCTATCGTTTACTGAAGTTTATGATATTTGTTATTATGATCGACAATACACATATCACCTACCGGTATATTCAGTTCATTGGATATATAAATGGAAACATTAAGCACGACAGTGAACCTCAAACATTAATTCATACTTGGATTAAAAAATGTGAAAATTGGATTAAAGCATCAAAAAAAAAAAAAAAAA